TCGGGGTGTCCTCGGCCTGGGCACGGCAGTCGTGTGCAGGGATCTGGTTAAATGTGGTGGCTGTGCTGAGAGGACAAGAGATCCTGCAGGCAAACCGCTGACGTGCGCTAACCGCCAGCACCTGCCTGCTGCCGCAGCAGATGCGTTGTGGTCTGCAAACACAACAGCAGTTGTGAATCTTGTACAAATTTTGTGCAGTTGAATTTACAAATATTCATCTAGGACAAGCATTCTTGGTGGCTTGTTTAAATAACTACTCTAGAATCACTCTTGTGTTCTAATAAACAGAGCTGGAAGTATGCGGGATGGTTCTTCATCTCTGCCATGAATTAATTTTCATGTGTGTCTTGTGATTTCTGACAGCTTAAAGCCAGAAGGAAGACTGTTTTTTTACAGGCTTTTGCTCATTAAAAGAGTAGTGGTTTGCCAGTCAACAGTAACAAACAGCTGCATTTCAGTCCAGAAAGTGGTTCAAAGCAGGAAGGAAAACTTGTGCTTATTGTTAGACAGCTGGAATTGAAACCACTTGGTGCCTTTGGCAGATGTTTGAATTTGATTTGCAGTTCTTGTAACGGTGGGAACATTAAAGACACAAGTGACATAAAGAAGGATGGAAATACAGATGCTGAAGGAGGCTGGGGCTGAGCACACAGTCGTAGTCTTCATTACAGCAGAGGTTTGCATTCAGGTTGATAACATTTTCACGGCTCTGGAAATTGCTATACGTGTTATTGAAACTGTGTCATTTTTAAAAAATATTTTTTGGTGCTGGAAGTTTCTGCTTAAGGTAGATAAACTGAAGAAAGCAATTTTTTGGACTGCTGCTTCCATTTTGTGCTACACAGCAGATAATAATGGCAGGGAGGTGCCAGTGAAGATCTCTGAAAACCCCTTTGTGTGTGGGAAGTCCAACATAAGGTATGTTTTTAGCAGGAGCTTGTTCTGGTTGATCCAGGAGGTCCTGGCCAACACAGGCTTTTCTGCAGCTCTGTGCTGGGACTGCCCGGGCCGTCCCTCGTGCGCCGCAGCAGCGGGATGAGCAGGGCGGCCGGACGCGCGCCGGGCGCTGGGAGCAGGAGCGGGGTGTTACTGCCGGGGTCACCGCCAGGGGAACCACGACCCTGGAGGCAGCTCCGGCGAGGCCCATCCAGGCATCTGGCTCCACGTTCCCGCTGGCAGTTAATGCTACGGCACTACATCAACCTGCCAAATTTCCACATTTCTTATTTGCGGAAGCCCTTATGGGAATTGCTTTTGAATGGGAGCTTCAAACCTGGGCTCTCACGGGGTACTTTGCTGCTTGAAGCTCTGTGTTCCAGTGGCTGCTCTCTCCCACGTGAAGTCAGCTATTGAACATGAATCCTCATAGAGCAACGAGATGTTACTTTTGCATAATTTGATGGGCATTATCTGCCAAAAGGCTGGGCATGAGTCTTCAAGACATCATTTTGTGCAGCAAACTATGGGGTAATTCTTCATACCTTCAGCAAAAAGTAATAGGGTGTCAAAAGGTGTTTTTATGGGATCTGTATTGATTTTATTTCAGGTTTCTTGCAACCTACAACAGCCTTACAGACAAACACCTGGCTGGCTATTTCAGCAATAGGAGGATAAGACGACATCTGCAGAGATCAGGACTGGTGAGATTGAAAAGTTTCCTTTTGTGAAGAGAAGAATTCTGTGGGTTTTTTTTTGGTACTGCAAAAGACAGGACGCTGATGGCCTCACTGTTTTTTTTATATAGGAGGGATAGGTTGCTGTTGATGAGAATGTAGTCAGCTAGGCAAGCTCATGAGATCAGCGTGCCACGTCCAGGCCACGCGGTGCCGCTGCGACTCGGAGCCAGCCTGCTCCACCTGGACGTCACCCGCTGCCGTCACCGTGAGCGGGATACGAGGCTGCAGGGCTGGGGCACCCAGGGTCCTGAGCTTGGGCTCAGACCGAGAAGGCTGAAAGACGGCTCAAAGTGAGCTCAGTGCCAGTGCGTGTGCAGGGTCTGTCTGCAGACAGCAGAGCAGGCCGCAGCGCCTCGCCCGGCCCCTCACGTGCGTTAGCGCTAGGGCCGCGTTGGCTGCCGCCCGCGCTGCGTGTCCGGCCTGTGGAGGCTCTTCCCTAACACGAGGCCCTGAGCGCAGCTGCACGGAAGGGTAAGAAGAGCTGGCTAAATGTCCCAGCGGAGAAGCTGCGGAGACTTTGGCAGTTTTTTTTTTTTCCTGATATTTGTTTGTTTTTTGGACTTCTCTGCAAAATCTCTAAGTTTGTAATTTACAGAATCATATTGATTCTCCTGAGATATATAAACTGTGAAATCTAAGCTATAGCATGTGGCGCTAGTGAATTTAGCAAACTCCAGTTGTTCAAATAACCTCCAAAAAGTCTAATTTTCAAAAGTGTTCGTTGGGAAATGGAAGGATTTGGTAGAGATGTTTAGCAGGGGCAGATGCAGCTCTTGCGCAGCAGGAGGCACGTGGTGAGCTCCCCTCCAGGGCGCTGGGCAGTGGCTCACAAGTCAGGCTGAGTCCTCGGCTGCTGTGGCTGCCTCTCTCTTCACAGGGCTGGGAGGGTCCATGGGGCCAGCGAAACTCCGGGCCTGTGCTGGGAAGGTGGGTTCCAGCAGCCTGGCAAGAGCTGAGCGGGTGGATAACTGGGGAGGGAGAGTCATCCCGGGATATCGTCTGTGTTTAGACATGCTTGGTTCTCCGTTTTCCTCTTTACTTGTATTTTGTTTGTTCACGCCAGATCTCAAAGAGTGGAAGAATAATACCTGAGAAAGAGTATCGGCTAAATGCTATGAGGAAGGATCACCAAAAATGTGTGCAGGAGTGCCTGGCTCAGGCCATATTTCATAAGGTCCTTGACATGGAGGTGAGTGTTCCCCAGCGACGTGGAAGCCTCTTCAGATCCTGACCGTGCGGTGCCGTCAGCTCGCGCTGGGCTGCTCTGTGCAGCCCTCTCGCGCCGGAGGCCCTTCCCGTCCGTGTGCCTGAGGCTGCGCAGGCCGCGCTGGCGTCTCGCGGCCGGGCCGCGCTGTCACCCGCCGTGCCGTGCTGGCCCTGTCCTGGCGCGGCACGGCGGGGGCCTCCCGGGGGGGGGGG